TTTAATGAGTTTTATTCTATTTCTGTCCACTTTAAATGAAGTTACAAAGTTACGATGATCTGAAGGGAAAATTGCTGTTTTTGTCTCTGGAGTCTGGTGGAGAGTGATGGTGATAATACTGCTGTTTCTGGTTAGTGCATTTGCATTGTTTTCCATTTCACAAATATCTACACATCAAACTATGTGAATTAAGGGTTTATTTCGATGGTACGTTGGTGATTTTTGGAACAGCGCAAGGATTAACTTAATTGTTTCAGTTTATCAGCTTGCTCAGTAAAATTACTGGTTTTGTCTATGGAATCTGGTGGGCAGTTGCACTCATTGTTTTGTTCTGAGATTATGATGCTCTAGATTCCTTCAACATTAAGATGATCATAAAATGGATTTTACCATCATCTAATCCTTCAGATGCTTTTGTGAAACGAGGCCTGTTTCATCAGCCATCCAGAACCATCAGCAGACAGAATATTTTTAAATACAGTCATTGGAGAGTCGAGAATGTAACTGCAGGCAGGATTTATTTTTATGACCTGAACACAAGATGGATGCTGACAGAATAGACTGATGACTCCCACTGCGAAGAGTTCAATTACTCTGCTCTAATATTTATAATGCTCTAATATGGAGTTTTACATATAATGCAGTCAGCAAGGGAAAGTCTGACACCCTGGACTTCAGTCAGCTGTTAAACAACCACATTTAAACCTGCGGTGATAACCTGTGTGTGTTCAGCACCTGATTTATGAAGGCAACAGCTCGTTACTCAGTTAGCTCCTGGACTGAGTCTCACACTGACCCTCAAGGGCCCCGTTGGTCAGATGTGGGTTAACTGACTCAGGCTAAAATGTCGCACTTTTATTTTGAAATAAAGGAATAGGTATGTGAAACACTGATCAGCTTTCACATTATTGGCTTTATGAGCTTTAATCGTATCAAAAGCTAAAATACCGGACCAGACTGGTCACGTGACTTTTTCTATAATATGTTGCTGCAAATATTTCACAATAAAAGCCTTTTTAAGAAATGTTTCTGTCCACTGAAACGCTACAGGAAATGGCCTTTCTGTGCTTCATCTAACAAACTCAAGAAGCTCATTTGTCTCTTACTTCAGAACCGCTCTGTGTGGACTCCTGTTCTTTCTCGCGGACCATGATGCCGTTCTCCGCCTGCTGGAGCTGCAGCCTGACGGCCTGGTCCGCCCTCCTCCTCCGATCCTGCAGCGTCTCCAGCAGCTCCTCCAGCCTCAACGCCATCCCCCTGCTGCCCCGGGAACTCTGGGAGCAGGACACAGCATCAGCATCAATCCACACATTTCACACAGAGCGAGTCAACAGCAGGATGAAGGAGCAGTTGAACAGCTGTAAGACACTCTCACCTCCTCCACCTCCTCCTCCTCCTCGTTGTCCTGCAGTACTCCTCCTCTCCTCTGGAGGGCCTCGATCTTCTGCAGCTGCCTCAGTTTCTGTAGAAAAACGTTGCTGCTGGTTAAAACCTGCAGGGATTTCCCCAGAAGATCTGGAATCACAAAGACACAAAGACAATGTCATCGAGATTACCACAACAGATTCAACCACAACGCTCAATTTACAACAAACCAGTTAATACCAGTTTATATATATATCACTTCACCTAGTTTAAACCAGCTTTTATTAGTGAAATCTTCAACATAAACCAGTTTAATCCAGTTTTTGCAAGTTTAAACCAGTTTACAGTAGATCAAACCAGTATTTCAAATCGCCTTTATCTCTGCACCTACAGCAAACCAGTTAAAACCAGCTTATATATCATTTAACCCAGTTTCAATCAGTTTCTATTCTAAACCAGTTAATCTTTGATATACACCAGTTTGTAGTGGATCAAACCAGTGTTTTAAATCTCCTGCAACCCTCCACCTACAGCAAACCAGTTAAGACCAGTTTATATGAAATTTAGCTGCGTTAAAACCAGTTTGGATTAGTTATATCTTCAATATAAACCACTTTAATCCAGTTTTTGCAAGTTGAGACAAGCCCAGTCTAAGACAGAGCCGACAAAAATAGGGACAAAAACTTTCTAAAATAAAACTAAACAGCTTGTTTGCATTCACGTATGGAAGAACATTTACAACAATGTGACAAAAAAATGATTCAGCCACCAGACTCCATTCATAAAAACAGTGATTTAATTTTGATTTTGAGTTGCTGGTCTCCCGCCGCCTCCATCAGTTAGTTTGTGTTATTGTGTGACTTCCATCTTGAGTTCGTGCCACATGGCCGCAGGGACGTGACGTCATGTGCAAACAAGCTATTAGTGATAATCTATCCTCAGTGCAGCTGTGAGTAACACTATAAATACTACGACTAATATTAACGCTCATTACCTCTCCTCATAGAGTCGTATGTGAGCTGCCCTTCAGTCAGCCTGTCTGGTCTGATCCGTAGATCCTCAACTCCGTCGATACTGACAGCAAACTGCAAACAGACCGAGTGTTAGCACGCTAAAACACAAAGCATCCATCAGAAAGCACACATTGACCTGATGGTGGCGCTGTATGAAACCTCAGAGGATGAACAGAGTTTTTATAGTTCATCCTGAGGGGAACATGAACCAAACTGCATCCAATAATTCACTTATTACCACTAATGTCAACCTCATGGTGGCGCTACAGTGTGAGTGTCAGTGGGATTCATCCACCGGGGAACATGAACGTCTACACAACATGTCACAGCAATCCATCTAATAGCAGTTGAGATATTTTAGCCTGGACTAAAGCGATGGATGAACGACTGACACTCTTCACATTGCTAATCCATTAGCATTAGAGCTATTTATTGACCAGCAACCGGTAGACGCCGTGGCTCTATGCAGCACCTCTTATGTGCTGAACTCACAGTGGGATTGTCAGGTTTGAGCTGCTTCCTCCGCTGTCGACTGAACAGCGGTGACCAGCTTGTTGGCTAAAATAGATCCAGAAAGCTTCCCGTTGGACTGTTTTAGATAAAGGCTGCAGCAGGTGACCATGGTCCGGCAGCAGGTGGTGATCATAAAACGTCAGCCGGCCAATGAGCACGGCTTACGGTGGCACGCAAATACACCGAGCTGAAACAAATGTCCTTCATAGAGACAGGAGACGAGGATAAATCCAGTCTACAGTCGGGCACGCTTCAGATGAGAACTTTACTGCCTACAGGTCAGAGGTCACATCAGCCTGACAATAGATTTAGATTACACTCTAGAGCTCCAGTTAGATGTTTCCATCCATCTTCTGAAAAGATACGTTTACCTAAAGGTTTTCCAACTATGAATACGATTTAAAAAGGCCCTTTTCTCTTTTATATTACTTACAAATTCATTTGTTTTACATCTTTATCTTATTTAATTTGGGTAAATTTGTTAATTAGATCTATATCAATATTATATATCTATTTGTGGTCGTATCGTTTGAACTTTAACATACTTTAACTGGACAGCCATTTTGTTCATTTATCAACAATTAATCAACAACCTGTACAGCTGCGTGCCTAACATTCATGTTTGACTTGACTTTATCTTAAAAGCAAACTTTTGTGCTGCACACAACCAAATTGATTATACATATAATGTTTCCAACAAACATATTGTCTGTTCAAAAAAACGCAACAGCAGCTATTTCCTACTAGCTTGAATATGTCAGCTTGAGTTCAAAAGTTTAGTTTAATTCTGTGTCCCATTTTTCGACCTTGATGAAATAAGCAACACATATTTTCGTTAGTTTATTCATTAGCTTTGACTTTACACTGGCGCACATTAAAAGTGATTATCCTTTGGGGAACAGTCAGGAAATTTAATGGTGTGACCGACATCTGCATTATTGTGGAGAACAAATTTACTATACTATGTTAAGTCTTTAGTTACCTTTAAAAGTTACAACTGTTATTAAAGTTGCGTTCTTACATTTCCAATTATCCATATTTTCAGACGGTACGTACCTCCAGTGCTCGGCGGTAAAAGTCTGAAGCCAGCATCAGGACTTCCTGTCGTTTCTCGAGCAGGCGGAGAAGCAACAACCATCCCTCCTTCAGAGATGCTGCCATGGCCTTGTACACTTCCTCCTCTTCCTCCTGTTTCTTGTTCCTCTTCTGCTCCACCATCATCCCTTCATCCCTCCTCCTCCTCAGCTCTGTCTGTCGGCTCTTTTCCACCACAGACAGCACTTCCTTCTCATGTTTCTGGAATAATTGAATTATTAGTTTTCAGTCACAAAAACAGTAAGTAAAAATAAGGAACTGGGAAGACACCCGCTCCTCCAATGGCCCCGTTACGTTAGCAGAAATCACAACGTTAGCTTCAGGTTTCAGAGTACGTTTTTAAGTTAAGCTACGTCATGTAGCCAGAGTTTCTGTCACACTACTTCACTTCTTTATCTTTCATCAAAATTAAAATGAAATAAAACTCAAGAACAAAAGGTCAACTGCTACAGTTGACAGATGCACTGAAATAGTTTGGTGACTATCAAAACAACAGGGACAACTTATGAGAACAGTTTGTGGCTATCAAGGTGGTTTAAAGATGTATTTAAATAATTTCCAGACTTAAAATCTAATTTTAACGTAAATATTATCTGGTTGTGATTTAGCTAACTAGCAGCTAATAGCAGCCAACTAGTCATAACAACTCCGATTGACATTTGTAGTAACTTCCTCAACAGTATTTCATTTAAACCAATTAAATATGGTTTAAAAAAGATTGTGTAGTCAATATTTATATTTTCATAATATTAACGAACACTATTTTCCATGAACCAACGGACAAACTATAAATTTGGAGATACTATTAGAAAGGATTGTTAGTGGATATTATGGATGAAGATATGATGACTGTGCCCGTATATTTTCATGGTAGTTGTAGTTTTTGTCCACAACATAATCAATTTTTTTAACTTTTCCTATTTTCAATAAAATGCTGTCCCAAGACACGCTTTAGTTTAAAGACCGATTAAAGAAATGTTGATTTATTGAATTACAGAAGCTACGTGTGTACCTTGAGTTTCTCCATCAGCTGCTGCTGTTCCTGGACCAGTGTCCGGTTTTCTTCGTGGTTCGATCCGATCTCACAGAGGCCTGGATGGACCTGGACCAGCTGGAGGTGGACCACAGACCCGCTCTGTACACACACACAATAATCTACATTTTACCATAAAAACTAGATACAAACTCAACTTCAGGGTTCTGGAGCTTTTTATTAATGTCTTCTTCAAACTTCCCCAGATGATTACTGACAGACACTTACTCTGTGTCTTACAAGTTTCCTGAAATGTTATGTTTAAATATGTACACGAGACATTATCTAATCAAAGATTTTGGATATCTCTTTATCCCCCCCTTAAATCACAAACTAATGTCAACAGCTATAAAAGAAATCAATTTTCACGATTTTTATAGCAATAATATGGGACATAAATCAGGCTGTAAATGATTTATGAACATACCCCTCAGTAAAAACCTTCAGAATATAAAGAGGAATAAAACTGGAAGGTTTGGTGTCTGTAAGAGCTGCTGAAGTATAACAAATTACCATTAAATATCCATATTGCAAATTTACTTACATTTTTTGGACACTACAGGTAAATAGGGTAAATATTTCAACCAACCGATATCACCATGAAACTTAACAAGTTTATTATTTACATTAAGACAATTATTTCTGTATTACAAGTTTTCTGAAATTGTATGTTCAAATATGCAAATGAGCCATTATCTAACACTAACTTTTGGTAAAATATAGTCACAAATAGATAAATCATAATAAAATAAATGTGTATTTTGGGGGCATAGATGCACACTGATGAGATTAAAGCTGGTTAGAGTCACAGTTTGGTGTCATTTTGTTCAATTGTTCCCGTTAGACTGTTATATTATTATGTTGTTTTATTTTATTCTGTTGTGTTTGCCACAGAGCGACCCGCTGAGCGCTGTAGGTGAAAAGTAGCTGCGTGGTATCGCTGCTCGTGTGTTACACATTCCTCAGCGTGATAGGGTATCTCCGGCATGTGGACCCGAAAAGGACACAACATGACTCGTGACCACACGTAGAAACAAACATACACTTTAAAAACAACAACAACAGTGCCCAAAACTATTATCCTACACATGTACAAATATCATTTTAAATACACTCTCCGTCTGCGAGGTGTCAGATGTTGCTCTCTTCCTCTTACAGCAGCATCAGGAGCTAAAACAGGAAACAGCACACAGACAGAAAAGTGACGGACTTTAAATGAACCGAAAAGCTCGGCTCTCCTGAAACTGCATCTGAAGGTTACTTCAGTTCAGTTATTTTATTATTCCAGATGGGAAAGTGGATTTTTCAGAGGCACAAACATAAAAAAAACAATACAAATACAGACAAAAACTAAAAGTACCAAAAAACACAAAAAAATTACATACAATATAAACCATAATACAACAATAATGCAAATACAATGAATGTGCATGATGCTTAAATTGCATGTGTAAATAAGATGTGCTATAAAGCTAAATATATAGTTTCAACTAAATCCCCAAACCATGTTTTTCAGCTGAAAACCCAAATTTATTTAATTAAGACTTTGAGGCAGATATTCTAATATAGGCTAGTCAAAGATAACAGTTTGATACCTAGCTTACTAAAGTAAAACTAAAAGCTGTTAACTTGTCACTTAATTTGAACAATCTAATAGTTAACTAAAATTCAAGCTAATATAGCGCACTTAAGTCGAGGTTAGCTGTCGAATGTCTTGCTAATAGGAAACAATTTAGTACACTCTCTCACAGCCCAATCATTGAAAATCAGGCTAACACTAAAGCTCATACTTAAAAGTGGAGAATCCAGAGAAAATTTTAGGATTCAAAAAAGGGTTCAAAAAGTAGAATTTCAGTTCAAAATTCAAAACAGTAATATTTAATGCTAACTAAATACAAAGCTAACAGTTACAACTAAAGCAGTGTGTAGCCTAAAAAACTACATCAAGCTCTCTAAAGTCTAAACTAACGGACTGTGTTTACACAATGTTTCTGAACTATAACCCTTCATAGCTGTCTTTGTAGCTACAGATACATTTGTCTAATTTAGTCATTGTTATCATGTTACGTGTAGCTATCTGCTAACAGATGAAACCAGATACATCAATTTGTATGACTTTGTATAGTGTTAGGGTTTTATTTGTTGCCAGTGATTCGCAGTCACTTTTACACTCGTTTCTGGACACTTTTAGAGGTCTTTTTTATAACTCAATATGTGGTTATAATGGTCTTTGTGATACAATAGCAAAAATGTGTCTACTCATGTAACCCCCTTGGATGAGCTGGGTTTTAAGCAGTGAGTTCAATAGTGTCTGTTAAGGTGTTGTGATTGTAACCTACGTTTAAAGCTCAACAAGCTGAATGCTTTTTGGCCTCTTTACGTACCTCGAGAACGGAGACGACAATCTGCGACTGGCCGGCCTGGACAGCGATAGTGCTGAGGGTGGTGAAAGACCAAGATAACTTCATGTTCCCTTCTCTTCCTCCTCCTCTTCCTCCCCCAGTTCCCCGCTCGGACTTCATTTGTCCTCCACATGTTTCTTCGGTCTCTCCGGACGTCATGAAGAAAGACTAAATCCTGTTACAAGTTCTGGGGTCACTTTAAGCTCGTCTCAACATCAACAAGTTTACTCATAGTTCCACTTCTGTTATCCTCATTAATCCACTCTACCTCCAGTTTCCAACGTTTTTTTGTTGTTGTTTTATTTCTCTTTGGTAAAGTTCCTCGAATAGCTCCTGAAGTGAAGCCGAACCAGTTCGTGTTGGTTCGCAGTGTGAACCCCTTCAGCCGGATTCACTCCGTTTCAACAGCTGTAATCCAGTTGCTGGTTGTTCGGAGGTCTTTAAACGTCGACAGTTGAAACTTCTACAGAACATAAAGAACACGAATTAATGTAAATGTTAATATATTGATCCAGAGAAAAGTTTTAGTTTGATTTGATGCAGTTAAAACATTGTAAACTGGATACAGACCATAAGCACTGCGAAAATAATAAAACGTATTAACAATAACCCCTTAAAAACATTAAATATCCCATCAGTACAACCTCCCTGTACCAAAACAATCAATGGAAGGATCAATGCCGTTAGCTGGCTTTAACTGTACGGACACTGATTCTGTGAGTTTGGCAAAATACCAAATGAAACCAGCTCAAGCCTGTGTCCATCTGTAGCATAGACGGCGTCTACGTTAGCCAAGAGCCCAAGAGCTAAAGTAGACTTCAACCGGATTTAGATGATATCTGATATCTTCAGCTTTAATTATCAGCAGTTTGTCATTATTGCCATAAATGGACAATTTAATAGCATCAATTAGTCGTCACTAAATATAATTTGATTTATGAACGATGAAAAAGTCATTTTAGGTTATTTTTGAATTACAGTATATTTGTCTACATTCAGTTAAGTTTTGGAGTTATATTCAGAATATTTGTGGAACAGTTAAACCCTGATTCAAATTCCTTTACTGTAATTATATCAGTATATCAATATAACATTATGATGCTGTTTTTATAATTATTTCATTAATGGTGAACAGATAATTTACTATTGCTTCATAGATCAGTCTTAAGATATTGATTACAACAAATTTAGGGTTGCAGGTTGCGAAACATCTCTTTAGCAAATCTATACGGTTGTAATTTGACCTTTGATTGGGGCCAAAACATCTGACCCAACTCGACCCAACCCCGGAAATTTTTAGTGTGAGCCCAAACCGAGCCCGAACCATGGCAGCAGATTTGGGTCCGAACCCGTCAGCGAATCAAAGCTCTAAAAACGATGCAGGTCTAAATGTTATTTGTCCATCAATAAATGGTTAATTCATCTTTCTATAAATTGATTGATTGATTTATTATCAATTGAAGGGATAATTTTTCATAACCTGACAACCCGAACGTTGGTTATTACTGATGGAAATTAAGTAGGAATTAGCAAAAACACAATTATGTATCCGCACTCTGAATGGGCGGGGCTTAATCAAGCTGTGGGTGGAGCTTAAACCTGAAAGTGGCAAAACTAACTGTAAATTGTTCATTTAAGCCTCAAATTGTTCTGGGTCGATTAAAAGTTGTTATATTTATTAAATAACTATTTACAGAACCAGTTGTTGTTTTCAATAAATGTTGCTATATTTAGGAGTACGGATAATTACGTGATATTGATACTGATTGAAAAAATCAATCAAATGATGGAAGTCCCAAGAAGAAATTGAAATGTCAAGTAATTGGATAAATTTATGTATATGTATATTTATGACTCTCATGCAATAAATTACAAAAATGCAATAATGAATAAGCAGAAAATTACTGAAGCTCATTTGCGCCAAAGATTCTGTACGTTATTATAATTAGAAACTTTATCAAAATGTCGACTTAGCATCTCAAATTAATGACAAAATGTCTCAGTTTTGGGCCCAATTTGAACTTAATAAATATAAATAAATAATTTAACGTTTATTACAAGCTAAAGCAAACTACATTGTGCACATAAGACAGTGCTAAACTAATAAAAAATGTCTCAATATTTTGAATTAGTATTTCAAAATAATACAAAATTTCTCAAATATGGAGAAGAAAATACTAAGCCAATCGTTTGATAAAGTTTCTCTTCATAATGACTAACATTGCGTCACATTGGTGGAAATGGGCTTCCATAGAAAACACAAGTGAAACATCATAAAAACTTTATCTTTCTTCCAATCACCACCTTTAATATAATTATTAAAGTATACATATCTGGTACATGTGGGTTTAAACAATGTGTTTTCACACAGCTGATGAAGAAACCTCACTACAGACTTTAAATGCAGTAAAATGTACATAAAGACGAGCCTACCTTCAGGGAGGTCAGGACGCTGCTGCTGCTGCTGAAACTGCGGAGCCACAAAAACACTGAGAGGAAACACAGCGAGGGAGAGAGAGAGAGAGAGAGAGAGAGAGCGAGACAGAGAGGGAAAGAGGTGGTAAAAATAGATGTGGTTTCCAGTGGGATTATCACTCAGCTGAATGACAGAGAGACATCTGCCTTCCATAAACAAACACTCCACCCTCTCTGTCAATGACAGTGTGTAAATATATCTGCAGGCCCAACCTAATGAAGACATAGAGACCTTGGCATTGATTAACTATCAGAACCATTAATTATGAACTCAAGTACTGTAAAAGTACAGTAATTATTTTATTGTAATTTTATGCTATTTAACAATGCAGAGACAAATACTACTAATAATAATACTTTTTACTTCATTGATAACTTGAGTGACTTAGTTACTAATTAATAAAGCTACTATGCAGATTCTGATCAATAAAACAGAACCAACCAAACACTGACTAATATAATTAATAATTATATATTAATTAATAATTAATAATTACAATAATACAAAGCAAAATATGTACATATAGGACAGTCATGACAGTGCAGGAGAGGAAGGAAGCCTGAAAGGCTCATTCAGAGTTGTCCCGCTGTTATAACTGAACCAGGAGATTGGACTCAACGACTCAACACAAAAAGGGCTTGGTTGAAAACACACAGTTTACTTACAAAAGTCCAGGACACAGAAGGGAAGGAACACGGGAAATATCCACTCTACAGGTGAGCAGCTACTAAGACACAGGTGCAGGTAATCAGGGTGGAGCAAACAATTACTAACGGCGGGAAAACACACAAGGGC